CTTCAAACAGATCGACGCCCAGAATAGGTCAATTTGTTGGGGTTTCAATCTTTCCAAAGGATGCAGAGAAACCGTAAACAATGGACGATGCAAGAAAGTTATGCACATTTGTATCAAGTGTCACCGCAACAATCATGGCCTCCAGACTTGCAGATCCAAACAGGATTGAAGTCAGGCAGCCGGGTCAGTCTCGGCAAAACGTGTTACAGGCCTTGAGGTTGAGGAATCTCAGGCAAACAGTGATGAACAGCGGCCTGGAGCCCAACAAACGTTGAAACGTCCTAGCCACACATTAGACCATGTGAACTTTTTGAGAGACCGCCTGCAGCAAAAGCGTTTGGCTGTTTCCGAAAAGTCCGTTCATCCTGATAAACTCACTTGCAAACGTAAGTTTGAGTCTGTTGATGTTTCCGAACTTTTATTCATTGAAGTTTTTGCAGGAACCGCCACATTGAGAAAGGCAGTTCGAGAGACTGGCATGCGCGTGCTCCCCGTTGACCATAGTTCAAAACGGTCACATGGAGTGCATATTGCTCTGTTCGACTTGACTTGTCCTGAACAGGAAGCTCAGTTGTCAACTCTCATTCATGAAGAAAGGCATCGTATAGCGTGGATTCACCTTGCGCCTGCTTGTGGAACAGCGTCAAAGGCCCGCGAGCGTCCATTACCCAACTTGGAAGCAAAAGGGTTTAGAATCCCAAAGCCCCTTCGTAGTTCCGAGTTCCGAATGGGCCTCCCAGGGTTGACCGGAGTTGATAAAGAGCGCGCCGAAGAAGCAAACCTTACATATCAAGCAACGACCGATTTATGCAAACAGGCTATAGCCTTGGACATTGCCTGCTCAATCGAAAATCCTGAAAATTCACTTTTTTGGGAGGTACCATGCATCGCCGCATTGACTGCTATCGGACATAATTGCATCTTTGATAACTGCATGCATGGTGGAGAGCGGAAAAAGACAACCAGATGGTGGTCTTCAGTGCCTTGGTTTGAGTCGTTAAAGGGTTTGTGTGATAACACACATTCGCATAAATCCGGGGCCCCAGTTCAAAAAGATGGTCGCTTGGTTTATCCGTCTGCAGAGGAAGCAGCTTACCCTCAGTTGCTGTGTAAACGTTTGGCGTCCATCCTGATAGAGCAATGTAAAGCTTTGGGCGCAGTGCTCTCATCAGATTTGGCCACTCAAAAGTTGCATACTGCCGTAAACACTCATCGATTCTTGTTGCACATGCTGCCGCGCGGAAAGCAATTCCGGCCGCTAGTGTCCGAGTTTGCTTCTTATGTTCCCTTGCTGCACCTGCATGACAGGCCACTGACGTATGCTCTTGCCAATTTTCCCAAAGGCGCAAGGTCTACAAGTCGGCAGGTGTGGGAGTGGGGTAAGATTCGGGCCGACAGTAGGTTTGATTCATTTTCACTTTCCATGGAGCTGAAAGCAAGAGTTGGATCTTTGGTTAATTCTTCCAAAGCCCAGATCACATGCCATTCACTTGAGTGCTGAAGTCACTAAGGTTTTAGAGGAAAACTTGTGTGATGATGAGTGTGATTCTGACTTGGCGAATGCACGTGTCAACTTCATCAAGAGGTGGAGCATAAGAGCTGCTGAGTTGGTAGATCAAGAGTCGTCGTTAAAGAGCAACATGCCCGAATATTTGAGTGCCTTGCTTCGACCTAAGAGGCTTTTGCTTCTTACAGAAATGCTAGAGGAACTCGAGTACCCGGACGTTAAGTTGTGTGAAGACATCAGCCAAGGTTTTAGATTATCAGGCTGGTTGGAAACCACTGGAGTTTTCCCTCCTTGTGTGAAGCAGCCCCAGTATAGTCGTGAAACTTTGCTGCTGCTGGCAAAGGGTTTGAATATGTCCATTGTGTCTCAAGTTGAATGTTCCGAAACTTCAGACGAGACAGCAGAAGAGACTTGGAATCAGACCGTAGAGGAAGTAGAGAAAGGTTATGTATGGTTTGACAACGTCCAGGCCCCGCAGTCTTTCGTCTTTGCAAAACGTTTTGGACTGAAACAGTCTGATAAAGTAAGAATGATTGATGACTGCACCATTGGTGGACTAAATAAAGCCATCGGGGCGGTAGAGAAGTACAAGATCCACTCAGTTGAAGAAATTGCAGCCTTCTTGAGTTGGACGCTAAACTTCATGAAGCAGAAAGGATTGTTGGTCGGACCTTTGATTTGAAAGCTGCCTACAAGCAATTTGGCATTCACCCAGACGACAGAAGCCTTCTTAGGATAATTTGCAGGCACCCGGAAACTGGAAAAGCCACTTACCTGGGAGTAAATGCGTTGCCATTCGGAGCCGTTGGATCGGTAGGTGCTTTCCTTCGGGTTAGTATGGCCCTTTGGTTTATAGGGGTGAGAGGCCTTAGACTGGCCTGGTCTTCTTTCTTCGACGATTACACCGTGATTGCCAAAGAGTCTCTTGCCAGAAATGCCCAGCAGTCCGTGGAAGCGCTTTTCGAATTACTAGGCATGAAGTATGCTAAGGAGGGAAGCAAGGCTGCAGAGTTTTCAAAACAGTTCAAGGCCCTGGGCTTACAATTCGATCTCTCCTGTGCGTTAGAAGGAAAAGTCCATCTAGGCCACACGGAAAAACGAAAGACAGAGCTGAGAGAGACTTTAACATCTTTTATAGACCTTAAGCAGATCTCTCCAAAGCAAGCGGAGAGTCTTCGAGGTAGGATGCATTGGTACGAGAGTTTCGTTTTCGGCAGGGTGGCTAGTCAGGCTGTGCACACAGTTGGAAACATTTCCACCTTGAATGAAAACACCCACAGGCTCTCAACCGTTGAGTTGAATGCCTTACAGTTGTTAAGGGACCGTGTCTTGGTTTCTCCTCCTCTCACCTTGTCTCCTAGTTCCTTGGAGTGTTGGGTTATCTTCACTGATGGGGCATGTGAAGGTGACGACAGAAAGGTTGGGTCGGTTGGGGGAGTGATCTTCGATCTTGCTGGTAAGTGCCGTGGTTACTTCGGGTCTACAGTCCCTGAAGGTTACATGGTATACACCTCCTCAGTAAATCTCAAAATCCCATCTACGAGCTTGAAACGTTGCCGGTGCTGATTGCCATGTCCTTTTGGAGACGTTTGCTTATAAAGTCCCAGGTAGTCTTCTATATAGATAACGATGCCGCGAAATCAGGACTTATTAAGGGAGCTGGAGCAACGGACGAGGCTAGTAGACTGATAGGTTGCTTCACGAGTCTTGAAATGCAGCTGCAGTGCATTACTTGGTTCTTGAGAGTGCCATCCCATTCGAATGTAGCGGATGGGCCTAGCCGACTTTGTTTCAGCTCGAGTCTCTTGAGAGGGGCCGTCATGGAAGAGATCCCCTGGGAAGACTTCCTTGGCTAGATTCGACGCCTGGACTGACATGGGGGTGTCGGCGGGTCCAGACTTTCGGATTCACCCCTGTGCATGAAAAAGGAGCGCATTGCGGTCGGTCGTGTTTCGTGCACACTTGCTTGGTATGCACTTGTCAGTGAACAATGTGGCAGCAAGGTTCAAGGTGAACGGTTTCCATAGGAAATAAGTGATGACTCTTTGGAACAAAGATTCTCACCTTATTTCATAAAGGGAAAAGATTTTCATGTATGAAAATTTAGTGAGCTGCACTTGTGACACATGACATTAGAATCGGAATGAATCGAACACCGCCGGAGCTGGGCTCCAAGGAGTAGGGCTTTAAAGCACAGCTTGTTCGTAGCGTATTTGCCCGTCACCCACCCTGACGCATTACAGCCCACCCACGGGCAACAGCTCACATCGTGCCACCGTCGGCGCGTCCTTCGATACATTCCATGTCTTCCAACCGACCCATCTCGGTGTGGAACACGTACATCCCTTGTCAACCAAGTAAGATGCCTAACCCAGCCGTTGTCGGCGGGTCCAGACTTTCGGATTCACCCCTGTGCATGAAAAAGGAGCGCATTGCGGTCGGTCGTGTTTCGTGCACACTTGCTTGGTATGCACTTGTCAGTGAACAATGTGGCAGCAAGGTTCAAGGTGAACGGTTTCCATAGGAAATAAGACCATTGAGTCCTTTTGCCGGCCGGTTTTTTGGTGGTGTTTTTGGTTTGTTGTTCGGTTTTGGTTGTTTGGTTTCGCGTTTTGTTTTGTGGACCTTTCCTGGCTGGGGACTTACTCACAAGTAGCACAATGACCTGTGCATCTCTGCACACATGGCGTCTCCAACCGTGCAAAAAAAGTCGCTGACAGTACTGTGAAAAAGCAAAGACAGCCGTTTGTTTCTTGTTCATGACGCGTGGCTCTGTCCACAATGCGCGGCGATGGAAGAAAAAACAGGGTGCAGTCTTGCCAATGTTTCGTGGCAAGTGGTGAAAAACTGCACCAAATACGTCCTGGAAACCGTGAGCCATGTTCAAATCGGTTCATCGGAACTACGAGCAAGTTTGAAGCAGATCCTCGCGACAGGATGCAGCTCTGCTAAAAATGTTCAAGCGCTTCCAAATTCGTAAGAACACAGACGTCATGTCAACCTTAGTTCAAGAAGTGATATGGTTCCCTTGATTCCTTTCTTGTTTTTTGGTTTTGGCAAAATTAACCAGAGTGTTCTTGAAAGACTTCCGGTTGATTTTTCCAATTTGAATACATAATTTTTTGTTTCTTGGAAGTTTAGCTTGAGAGTCAGAAAGTTTGGTTCAGTTTTGCGATCCTTCGGAAATTTTCAAGTGCCAGGGTGCAACATTTTGAACTTGCAAGTGATTTCCATGCGTTGAATTGATATTTGCAAGTGCTGGGTGTGCACGACTGAATCCAGGCTTCCAGGTCTTTGCGCTCTGACAAAGATGGTGCCATTGGGACATAACGTTCCCCATTCACAAGGAACATGAACGCTGATAAGACTGCCCTTAAAAGAAAAATCAGGTGCATGCAGTCATTTCTTTTGATGTTTGTTGCATGTTTTGCATGATTGATTGTGCTTTTGCCTCAAGCTGATGTGACCACCGATTGGGGTCAGACTCGTCGCCATGGAGGCAGCGAGTCCGATGCCCAAGCAAAAGTGAGACGTGTGTTGCGGATTTTTCGCAATCTATTTGCAAGTTTTGTTGCTTTGACATTCCCTGGTGCGTTCAAATTAAAATTTGCTTTAGGTTCCTCATCAAGTTCTTCCGCAAGGCTGGCATATGATTGGTGTTTTGCCAGTATTGGGTGCGTGCTGCGTGTTCCGGCTCCAAATCTTTACGAGCACCATCTTGTTTTCTGGTTGCTTGGTGCTGGTGGTCCAAGTTAAAAGAGTTGGTTGCTGATATGTTCCTTCAAAAGGGCTAATCTTTGCATGTTGCTATGGTTTTGCATTACGGTGGTTTCAGAGTAGATGGCACAAATTGTTTCGAGTTTGGGGTCCATATCGTATCGAAAACCATTTATGGGCCCAGTGCCATCGACCATCAGTCCATGCCACGCAGCAAAAACATGTTCGACATCGCCCCAGTGACGATCGTGATCGGAGGCCACCTGCCACGAGCACCGGCAACCTGGTGTCATTGGTGTTGCAACGTGATTCAATGTGATTCACCTGTTGAACAATCATCACAAGCTGATGCGAAGTGGTGAAGATGATGGTTGTCATGCTGTTTTTTTTTTTCTGCACTGGACGATAGGATTATTATCGAACCCTTCGGCAGAAGGAGACGGTATGAGGCAAAAAACGTGCAAACGAGTATTCTTTAGTGATGATTCAACGATTTGATGGCAGTTCTTTTCCGGATTTCGTTGCATTTTTGCAATCTGGAGGGATCGGTCATCCGTACGTCCTTTGCTGCAGATCAAAAAGGGGAGTCCGATCCAGATCACATCACTTTCTGATCGATTCTGAAGGCAGATCTGGACTGTCCCAGGTGGGCCAAGCTGGAAACTCACCGTGTTCGGCTGTGCCGAGGCACTCCCGGCGCCAGCGCTGGCGCCCGGCGGCAGAACCCCGTGCTGTCAGAGCAGCAGATCCACATGCTGAAGCAGGATGGAACCTGCGAACGTAGCGCCCCAGCGCCCACCTTCCATGTGTGCATGTGGGCCTTATGTGGCCCCATCATGTTCATTGATCGACATCAAAAGAGCATTTATTCGTCAACGGAGTTGGTTTCTGAGGTATTTTTGGCTTGATTTGTTCTCGGAATTTTGATTGGACAGCCCACCACAACAGAGCGCGGGTCGGAAGCCAGCGGCGGAAGACACGGAAGACACAGAAAAGACACAGAAAAGACACACATTGCTTGGTGTCATTCTTGGTCGGAACAGGGTGAACATGACGCTGTTCCAGGATCCCTGGCTCAACAAGGACATTGAAGCGCTGGGACCTCTCTCTCGCTCCGGGGGATGGGATGGGAACCGCTGGGACCTGGGAGGTGCGGCATGTTTGGGAGCAAAGACTGTGGGCTTTCAAAGAACCCATGTTTTTTTTTTTTTTAAATTAGGCATACAGTAGTACTTATACTTGGTACTTTTTTAGAGTCTCACTTCTTCTGGGCGCTAACTGCACTACCTCAATCGTTTGCGGCATTCCTTCCAGTTGATTTGAACAGCGCAGAGCATTCTGCAGCCGAGATACTTTTCCAGGTAAGACGAACAACTTGGCGATGCGGGCCAAGAAACCTATGGAGCACCACCCGAAGACCGTCTCCAAAAGACAAAAAGAGTAGCCAGCCATTCCATTCTTCAGGGTTGACCCAGGCTTCCAAAGGTGTGTTTTGATTTCCCTTTATGGGCGCTGCTTCTCCACAGATGTTCAGGCATGTCGAGTGGCTTCAGTGGCTTGCCCAGGCTGTCCGGTGTAAAGCGTGATCCGATGACCTCGACGACCTGGTCGACAGGACACTGTCATTGAAACGAAAAGCGTTCATCCAGACGACCTGGTCCTCTGCTGGGGCGCCCGGCCCGCTGATGGGCTCCTGGATTCAACGGGCCGTCCTGGTCCGTTAGAGAGGTCCGACCGTGGGCCCCATATGGAGGTACACATGGGATAGGCAAAGAAGCCGTGAAAAATCTCTCTAGGTAGCCAGCATAAAGCACTAGTCTGGCAGCCGGCTTTTTCCCGGGAGGGTGCCCTGGGTGCTCTCGCTTCGTGGAGCGGTTCCGTGCGTCTCGAGACCTTGGTGTTTTCGTCTCACGAAGCGCTGAGGTCATCTCTTTTGTGCTTGCTTTGAGCGACCGAAGTCCGGGGGTCCCAAGGTTTTCGTCAGAGGTGGACGAAGTGACGAAGCTGAGCTGAGGACGAAGCTGAGGTGTTTTTTTTGCGGTGTATGAAGAAGTGCTCAAAGGCAGCTCCAACCGTGGTCCTGGTTCCCAGTTGTTTTCCAGTGGTTTGCAGTGGATCCCAGTGGTTCCCAGTGGTTCCCAGTTCTCAGTTTGGAGATCCAAGACTGCATGTTTGCTGCATGTCACATGTTTGCCATGGCTAAACTGCGTGTGTTGAAGCTCGCCGCGGGTTTGATTTGCCCTCTTTAGGGCTCAAGAGATGTTGCACTGGCATGAGACCTTGTGTGTGTGTGTGTGCTTTGCCAAGTCAAATCTAACAGCACCTTGGACCTTGATTACAAATACGGGCCTGGTTGCCTTCCCATCAAAGCGAGGTTGATATGGTTGAGAGATCCATCAAAACATTCTAGCAGTTTGTTTTGATGTGGTCCTTTGATTCTTTGGAATCAACGGAGCGGATGACTCGATAAAAGTAGCAGAGCAACCTGCAGAGATCTCTCCTACACGACATCATGATGGTGTGTGGACTTTCAACCGGATTGATGCAAAATACTCAGCCACAAATCGGCCAGATTGCACTTTTTCGCGGCGGATCAGGTCTCGTTGCTTTTTGACAGAATACATCCTTTTTTGGCGCGCAGAACATACCGCGTGCGCCATGGAACATACCGCTGGCAGTTCGGTGGGTGAAGGCCTGGATGTTCGGTCTTGCCGTGGCTGTTCGGCCGGCAGGTGGAGACCTGGCACACTTTGGAAAGGGCTCTTTCTTTTTCGTTTTGTTTGGAGCTACACTAAGATTAACATGATGTGTCAAAACGGACGCGCATGGAAACACCATTCTTGGTGGGCAACCAAAGGGCTGTGGGCTGTGGGTCAACACCAAAACCGCGGCTGCACAGTTTTCACCGAGACTTCTAGTGACCAACATGCCCCTGCCTTTCTTCTTGTTACACAGTTACACAGCGCTCTGCCGTACTAGTAGCAACTTTTGGAAAGCCATGAATATCCATCAACCCTTCAGGTACGCCGTGAACAGGACGTTTCGCCGGTGTAGTGCGCCCTAGCATTTGATGGAGGCAGAGAATCCCTGCCACAGCTGTGGTGTTCTGCACCGGATCTCCAGTGCCCGCAGGCGATGCATCCTCGCTGGCGACCTAGCGGTCTGGACGTGGAGGTGGTAGGATGTGGTAAGTGTCTTGGCACCAGGTGACAGCTAGCAGCTAGCAGAAGTGCAGAAGCACTTCGGAGTTTTGTTTCAGAAAGCATCGCTGTGAGTCGTGAGCGTGTGCTTTTGTTGGCTGACAAAAGTTTGTTCGTTCTTTGGGGTTGTTTCTCATTTGCTTGCCCCAACTAGGTCAAGGCCTCTTTTTGTGGGATGCAGCTCATGGTACACCACCGATCCGAACGATAGGGAGAGAGCAACTTTGGGATTCATCAAAACACCTCAGAGAACAACGGATCCTTTAGCTCTTCAAGATCCAGAAACGTGTCAGAACAGTGGATAAACATGACTTGGGTTGGTCCCTCTCCCAGCAATCGTCACTGACGCCCTCACCTTTCACTAGACCATCATACAACATTTGCGGCAGAAGTCATTCTCATCATCCAAGAGTCTCTTTGGCCACTGTGGTGATGGGACCTACAGTACCCCCAAAACCATCCCAAACCCCTTCCTCAGCGCCACGAGCCCTCTTTTCCTGTAGAGAAGCCGCCTTCCCACGAGGTCCACGTCCGGGAGTCCCGAGATCCAACGGTCCCGGTCGGGGCGCCCCGGCGGTCGCGGGTCGGGTCGACGGCTGCGGGTCGGGTCGACGCGGACCGACCGGTGGACGCGTCGATGACGTGGCTGACCAGGTCGGAGCGGGCTCCACGTGGGTTGAAGGTGTGGAACCTACCAAGCATCAGAGAGAAGCTCAAGGACGGACGTCGGTGGTTTTTGCTTCGGCTGTGGGTCGTACATGGCTCGAACAGAGACGGCGTGGCAAGTCGTGCCTCGGCCTGGTAGAAGTAAGTGGCAAGTCGTGCTCAGTTCTTTCTTCTTTCATGTCACTGTCTTTTCTTTAGACCTTTAGGCCTGGATTGTTTATGCTGTCGCCGCGGTTGCGACCCCAGAGGAAATCGCGATTTTTGGTGGGGTCGGGTTGGGGTGGGGTGGGGTGGTGCACGTTAACGTTCGCTTACACTTGCGTGACGAAGTTGAAGTTACGTTGTGGATGTGGGGTGGGGTGGATTGGGGCATGTTAACGTTCGCTAGCACTTGCGTCTCGAAGTTGATGCTGAGTGTTTGATGTGGGGTGGGGTGGGGTGGGGCATATTAACG